AGGAAAAAGCAACTGCACCTTGGTAATGCTCCTTATGTCTGTGGTCAATCATTCATTACTACCTGCCGGTGATATTTTGAAGGCAATTGAATCACCTGCCTGCTGGTGATATTTTGAAGGCAATATGTATTACCTCTTTGTTTCATCCTGGAGATGTCTATAAATAGTTAAAAAAATTGTGGTAGTGCAAAACGCCACTTCTCTCTTCCAGTTTGTGGTGCATCTTACCGCGTATTAGACATTTATTCACGACTCCAACTTAAGTTGCTCGTCTTATCCAAAGTTTAAACTTTAATGTTAGCCATTTTATCTGCAAGTCTTGCCTGCTTGGTTTTTCGGGATTCTGCAAGGTGTTAGTTAACCTCTGAACTTAACAGGCTACAAACGTGCTGTAGTCTGAGGTCCATGGACAAGTACTAAAGGGAGATTCTCAGTGATGGTGAAAGTGCGAGCGTTGTGAAGCAAATGATAAGGCAAAGCTGGCTTTTGACGCAAGATTAACGAGTGGACGGCTGGGATTCTCCTGTTTTCCCTCCCTTTGTATTCAGTTTTCGCGCGCACACGCAGTACGGGGGACTTGACGTCCACCGGATACCGCCAGCACTATTGACTTGGGCTGCATTCTTTTTTTTTTTTTTAAATGATAATAATTGTATAATTTATTTTATTTTAAATTACAAGAGAAGGGAATTTAAAAAAACTTCTATTAAGGGATTGCAAGTGTACAGATTTTAATAGACCGAATAGATATTGTGACACACTATCTTTGAATTTTTTTCGTTGTGGATAGGAGTTGAATTCCCCACCCACGGCTCAGGCCGAGCCAAGCTCAGTGGTTTAATTACTTGGGCTGCTCAAAAATGATAAAATGGGCACACCCCATTCGTGATGTTTTATACCGTACTTTCTAGGACATTTATGCAATCCAGTTGTGCTCTGCATATCCAGAGTTGTTAATTTATACGTTTGATCCGCTTGTATGGTGTTGATGTCGGCTGAATACATTTTTTTATTATATATATATTAAATCGCTATGATAATTTATTTATAAAAAATTCAAAAAAATACAATCCAAATAAAGGTGTTGATTTCGTATTTGTAATTTATATTGTGTTTGGATTGCATTTTTCGTCATTTTTCATGGAAAAAATATTGTAGCGATTTGATATATGTGAGGGAAAAAGGTGATAGAGAAATGTGATCACGGAAAACGACAATATTTTTCGATAGAAACAAGCAATCCAAACAATGCCTTACTGTCTCCCCAAAAAAAAAAAAAAAAAAAAAAACAGAACTGCTTGTGTAGTTTAGGTTTTTCTCGCCAACGATCATATTCTTTTTTCTATACGTAAATGGCCACATCTTTTTTTTTCTGTATATAAAGCAAGAAGCAGGCGTTTGGTGTCAAAACTTTTTTTTTTTTTTGTCATTTTCTCTATTATCCCATTTTGACTACTAGTATCCTTATATTATATAAGAACGAATTTAGAATTAGATTTCAACCGCAGGGGTGAGACTATTTTGAAAATGTGATAGTGTTTAAAGAGTAATTGGAACGTTGAGTACAATGTCATTATAGTTTTAATTTCACTGTAATTACTTATATAACCTTTCAGACATTTAAGGTTAGGGGTAGGTTTGGTATGTTACAATGTTTGATGCCAAGTTGAATATCAAGTACAACTGAATAAAGCTTGTATTTTGATAGAATTACATATGGGTTTGTTTGTATACACATATTATTCCAAATAATATTTCACTTGTATTATAAACACATTTTTCAACCCAATTTTTTATATTTTCAATCAACTTTTTATCTCACATACATCAAATCACAAAAAGTGTTACAGTAATTATTCCAAATAATATTTCAAATAATACTCTATCCAAACAAACCCATCATTTTAATCATTTATTATACTAACATCCAAGTTTTTCAATTTCTTGAAACCTTTATCATCCGTTAAGGAATTAATTTGATGTTTATCCTTATACTATATAAGAACGAGTTTAAAACTAGATTTCAACCACAGGAGTGAGACTATTTTAGAAATGTAAGAGTGTTTGAAAAGTAATTGGAACATTGATTACAAGTCATTATAGCTTTAATTTCACTATACTTACTTATATAACCTTTCAGACATTTAAGGTTAGGGGCAAGTTTGGTATGTTACAATATTTGGTGCCAAATTGAGTATCAAGTACAATTAAATAAAGCTTGTATTTTGATAGAATTACATAAATTCCTTTTAATCATTTATTATACTAACATCCAAGCCTTCTAATTTCTTAAAACCTTTCTCATCCGTTAAGGACTTAATTGGATGTTTACATAATTGGATTTTAATTACAATTAATTAACTTAATTATTATCTGAACAATCATTATCATATTTATGTCCCCATGTTTAGCCGATACCCTTTCTTCTTTTTCGGTTTTACCTCTTTGATTTTATTATGGCTATTAAATTTTTGGTGGAATGCATAGCTTTCTCTTTAAATTGAGATGAATTTTTTGGATTTGTCTTCTTCGATTGTAGTTTTTTTTTCTGATAATTGGTTTATTCAATAACTCCATATAGTTTGCCTTTTAATACTTCTAATTCCAAAAACTGACTAATTGTATTATTTTTCTTAGTAGATCTCAGAGATTCTGTCTCTGGTCAAAGTACAATTTGAGATAATATTGTCACTTTCTAAAATAATCAGAAAATCAATTTTATCATCTTCTTCTCTTCAGCCAAGGTATTATCTCTTTATTTAAGTCAAATAACCTTATTTCTCATGAACTTTCTCCTATTATTCTTGACTCCAGGGATCTGTTGACTACATTCCAGCAGTTATAGTTCAAGTAGTTATTTTTTCATGTAATATGATTTGGAATTCAACTTGTGTTTATTTTAATTGGGAATTTTATGATTGTAAAATTTATTAATTTAGAATTTTGTACTTCATTGAAACTAAAAAAGAAAATTAATCATGCTACATAATACTAAGATGTCATTTGCACTTTATTTGCTTTCCATGTTATGATCTCGTTCTTGTATTATACTGTTTATATAGTTTCAAATACCAAAAATGTACTTTTTTATACTATGTAAAAGAATTTGTAGTGGAATTTGATTAGTTTAAATGCTTTAACTACAGCACCATTTTGATTGTATTGTATTAATTCATTTACTCATAATTGTATGTTGTACAATGATAAATAATGTTTCTTGATTTGATTGAAGCAACTATTATCCATAGTTCAAACGAGTCAATTAAGTAGAGATGTTATGTTTGATACTTATACAAGTAAACATTGGAAAATATCATTAAGCAGTTTCTACCTATAGTTTGCAATTCGAATTCACATGAGGAATTTCTTCTAATTTTACTTACCATTTTCTACAATTTTAAATTTAGAAAATATTATTTATACCAATTTTTTATGATCAAGATAGTTTCAATTCAGATCAGTAACAATTATGCAGATTTAAATTTATTTATGAGATTATAAAGAAATGCTTCTAGCAAAAAACACCAAATCTAAATAGTTTTTACAAAACTTTGAAAAAAATCACTTAAGTTTCTTATCTATCTATCATTTTCGGGCATTATTATCTCTGTAAGAAACATGTGATTAAGTTGTATTATACCCACCAAATTATATAAATAGTTAGTAAAAAAAATAAAATTATTTTAGATTAGATTGGACGCAAAGTGATTGATGGATAAATTTGACTTGATAATTCAGGTTGATCTTAAGTCGAGAGAGAATCAGAAGCATTGCTTGAGGGATCTTTCACGAACATATATAGATTCGAGAGATGAAGGGTCCAATTGATACTTTAAAATATTTTATCATATTGGATAAGTTTTAGAAGAAACCTTTGAATACTTTTCAATTGCACTTCAAACATTCTTACATTTTCAAACTACCATTATCTTTGCAGTTGAAATTCAAACATAACATTTGATCACAACGGATTCTTATATAGTATAACGATAAGGATGTTTTATTGCACATTATTTTTATTAACTCACTATGTAACTTATGATTTTTCTATTAAAATCACATGATAAAATCATCATACTTCAGTTCATATACTACAAAATATTAAACAATAATTATTAATTATCTTGAATCACAAGCACCAAATTCCTGTGCGTCGCGGGGGCTGTTCCTCCCTAGCCTTCTAAACAAGCATTTGTATTGCACAACAGCAAACAAACTGTAAACTATAGATAATTATTGAATTTTAATAACTTTCTAATAACTTATGCTATATTATCTTCTGATAAATTTTCTTTTTTTTTATATTTTAATTGACTTCTGCTTATATATATATATATATATAATATTTCTTTCTTAATTTACACATTCACAGTGTGTGCTTATTCCTTTAGTTAGATTAAATTGCAAACGTGAATGCTCTAAGATTAAGCTATGAAATAATTTTAATAGGATCAATATTCTATACACTGACAGTGTATAGATTTTCATTATTGAATGCATGATACATAATTCGAATTTGAATTTAAAATTCAAATTTTACAAATATTTCATGTATTCGATCGTAATAATATATATATGTACGGTCGGTATATATATAATACACTTATTTTTATAATCCAATACAGTACCTCTTGCCTTTAACAACTACATTCCTATGTCACTTGAATTAAGTATGCATCATACATTCCTGTACTTCCTTATGCAGAGCACATGACTTGATTTGAGAAATTGGATTAACCTGAAAATACTTTTGCAGTGCAGAGGCAGTGAACCATTGCTCGTATTGAAAATAGATAAATTCGAAATGCGCGTAAATTTACTCGAAAGCCACTTGATTGACTACATTAAAATAAATAAATATATACATGTATATAAACAAAAGTAATGCTAGTAGTATAAAAAAGCTGGCTCCGGCCTGGAAGCCACCTAAAGCAAAACCATGCACAAAAAGTAAAATCAGCAGTAAATATTTGACAAGTGACGACGTTAATACAGCAGAGCGAAGCGCAGGGTCTTGTGTCTGACTCCTTAGTTGCACCTGTCCTTGTCTGCTCCTCTGGGTTGCTTCTCCAAACGGACCAAACCCCAACCCCCCGCTCTCTCTCTCTCTCTCTCTCCGGCATTTTTACTTTTATTTTTATCTGGTCCGTTCTCAAATCTCTGTACGTCCCTGCTACTAGATTTTTTGGAGTAGAAGGATACTGAAGCATTAAGATTTAGTGCAATGGAGGCTGAGAAATTGATTGGCGAACAACAAAATCAGAAAGAGCATAGGACCCAAAACTGTATTGAAAATGAGCAAACATCTGTTAAACGAAGGGTAAGTTTGACGAAGTTCTCAGTTTTATCTTGATTAATGGGACTCCATACCAAGTTCTTCTTTCACATTTCTTTCATTTTTTGCTTTTTTTTTTAATGTGCTCCTATTTGACTTGTTTTTGAAAAAAATTTGGTTTCTTCTTCTTGTTGCATTATTTTTTCCCGGTTGAGCAACAGAAGAGGAAGAAGAAGGACGAGATGCCCATGGAAAAGAAGAAAAAGGTGATTGCAGGAAACCCAAAAGCTCCTAAATCGAAATCGAAGAAAGTACGAAAGCTTATTTCAGTTTCACCCTACCTTTTTAGTTTATTCGGTCGCTATAGCTCATGGATCTGTGCCATCTCTTTCTACCATGTCTTTAAGATTGCCTCGATGTTTCTTCTTTCACTTTTGTTTGCTGTGGATGCATGTTTTAACGGGTTGGATTTCAGGGTTTTCCCCTTTACTATTAGCTAGTTTGTTATTGGGAGATTTTAAGAGAATTTCAAAACTTCAAACCCTAGTCTTGTTTCCGCATCATGCTGTGCTCGTTTGCTTATGAATGATGTAATTGTCGTGCTAATTATGCTTCTTCAATGTGGATTTTTACTTTATGTTGTTGTCTTTTACTGTCTTCATTCTTCTTGGTTCAGTTAGATCTAATCTCAATATATAGGGTCACCCCCAGCAAATTTGGGTACAAGTGTCTACTTGATTAACTTTTTTAGTGGTGAAATATATTTATATACGAAAAGCTGCATGATCCATCAAAGACCAAGTGGAAGGAAACATCCCTGTTACAAGCATTGATAAACTAATATGGTGCACATTATTTGTTTCAAGAAAAAGAAAGGAGAACACTTACAATTTGTAAAACGATTGATCTGCTCATGGGGAATCAAAATGTGTCTTGGGATTCATTTGACAAAAATCTAGAGAAGACTATGAGGAGTTTGGGATGGTGAGCAATGGGAAGACTTAGTTTAAGGGAACGCAGGCTCACTTACAGATTGCAGGTTTTCTTGTTCTTTTGCAGTCGCCATTTTGATATGTTTATTAACAGTTACTAACACTTGGTGAGTTTTATTATATGCCAACTGTTGCTTGAATTTGTAACATAAGCTATGTACGTACCACAGTTATATGTTTTACTTAAGCTATGTATGCACTGTGGTTTGATGTTTTTGCCTGCAAGTATGCTAGTAGATTGAGGTCTTAGGATGAAGAGAATCCCCCTTCTCCCCTCCTTGTTTCTTAAATCCCACCGCGTTCTGCTGGAAAAAGAACTAAAAAAAAAGGTATTATGCAAGTGATTGACTTATTTCAACTTTGGGACATCTAGAACACACAATGCTGGGAGCCAGCTGTTCCTTTCAAATCAATTAGCGGGGTATCCATGCTAGTAGCAAGCTTTGTGTTGCATCTTCTTGGGCCTCTACATTGTGTATTTCGTCTTTTATTAGGTCTATCGCATACATACTTGATCAGATGGATCTTTCATATTACTTGTACTAAATGTTTGTGCCTATGTGCTTTCAATCATGATTTGGTTGCCTTCTGATGAAGAGATTCTAAGAAGATCATTGTGTCCAAGCTCTTGGTCTCATTTTGAACTCTGCCAAGAGGATTGCATTTGTTATATAGCCTCAGTGACGGGAAAGGCTCACTTATTTCATTCTGTGCAATTGTGAAACGTCCATTACTGTGTAGCTTTCTACCATATTCTCTCGTTATCCTCTTGATATTGGAACAACAGAAAAAGGAAAAAGAAATAGTTGATAAAATCTGCATTTAGTTGTGATCAACGGAGCAAGTGTTGCCTGCCATTACCTAATACTTTAATGGCCTTATTTATATTGGTGAACATGCTCTTCTTGTAATAAATTGATAATTTAGCAAGTTCACCAGTATGTATGTGATGCTTGAAGTCATACAAGTTGATTGCTGTATTATCTTTATTTACCAACTTATGATGTGGCACTTTGCATTTTGATCAGGTTGCCTCAGATACTGGAAAGAACTCACGATGGTTGGCATCTGTACTGTGATGGCTTTTGATATGTTCCCTTTTATCTTTGAATTTGTTGTCTTTTTCCCTTTTTAAACCTTGGAATGCAAATCTTGTGAAGAATCTTAGATTGTGTTCTAAGAGTATGAATTGTTTGTAGCATTAAACGAAAGCGAACTGGGATGAACGAAATATATGATGATGTTGAATCTAAGTTTACCGTTATGGAGCGAGCAGCAAAAGTTCTGGCAAGTATGGAGGATGGAGCCCCTTACTTTTTAAAGTGTATGCTCCCTTCAAATGTCACTTACAGCTTTTGGTTGGTAAGGCTCCAAGTTTGCCCTGTATTAAGATTCAAGCGATTGATTAGTTAAAAGTGAACCTTTTCTATTTCTTGCTTCGTTGTTTTTTCTTTTTGTCCTTTTTCATTTCTATATTTATCTTTCACAGATTATTCCTAGGAAATTCGGCAGCTTACATCTGCCAAGTCGGGATTCCACTGTTATTTTGGTCGATGAATGGGGAAAAGAATATAAGACAACATATCTTATTGATAGAAATGGACTAAGTGCTGGTTGGAGGGGGTTCTCCATGTCTCACAGATTACTGAAGGGAGACATCCTGATCTTCCGTTTGATTGGACATTGCAAGTTGAAGGTAACTGTTTGAAACTTGCTGATTCTTATAGCAATTGGAGATGAGCAGCAATGCTTGCACTTCTAACTTTGTGATGATTCACAGCTGACAACCTACGGAAATCACTTTAAGGAAAGTCATCAACAGTTGGTGTGAGAAAATATGTGTTGCTGCTTTTTAGTTGTTGCTAAGATAAGGGACATGAAATTATAGCAGAGATATTAGCGTGATGCATCAAAGATTGTGGGCTTTAATCTGTTAGATCTGATAGAAGTTCAGAATTCAGATTTGACTTGCCTTTAGGAATACTGGACTAGATCTGTATGGCGAAGGTTTCAAATATCCAGATAGGAGAGAACATAGCTTATGCAATTAAATAAGCTTTTGAAACCAGAATACCTCATTAAAACAAAGAGCACAAGTATACTCTTCCATTTCTGGAAACTCAAGCCCTAATTTGGCACTAAGTTAATAATGAAGTTTAGGATATTTATGTTAGTGGTTTACTTTTTCACAGGACTAATTAGGTAAACTGTCTTTTGCCTTTTGAACTGCTTGGTGGTTGTATTTCTAATCAAGCTATCTATTAACGAGATTCAAACCTTTTGATTGTTTGTCTTTGTGCCTATAGGTGCACATAGTAAGAGTACATGGTTTGGATGTAGTAAATGCAGCTGCTTGCCTCATGAACTTGGATGCTTTTGGAACAATGGATTCTGGTACATCTTTGCCCTTGCATTACCCGCCTGGTTTGATCAATAAATGTTCCAGCTATGGGCTCATTAACCTTTTGTTTCATCAATTTTTGAACTGGATAAGATCCTGTGAAGCAGGATTATAGGAAGCGTAAAAGAACAAAGAAGTATGCAGACTGTTCTGTGTTTGATGCCCCTAGAATACCAGACAAAGTTCAAGAAAAGGGCAAGATGGTGCTCAAATCTGACCTTGTGCCTGTGGAAGATCAATCTGAAAACACCAGTGATGGTTTTGGGTCTGAAGTACTAGAAGGTATGAGATTTCAAATCTTGTTGCTTGACAATTATGATCTATAGAATGTTGTTCATTCCTGTTAGAATTTGATCTCTTAGGTTCTGGAATGACTGACCACCTTTTATCCGGTGACCACCATCACACTGAAGCATCATTTTTGCATGAGCATCCCTGTGAAGGTGTCGTGTGTCGGTAATCTGCAGAAGTAGTGTTGCTTACATGGAAAAAGATGGAACTTCTGAGTTCAGCATGACAAGCACCCCATCTCCCACCAGCCCTGGGATTCTATGACTTCCAATCCCTCCGCTAAATCCTCGCCATCATCAGCATCTTTCACTGCCTTCCTTCCTAGATCTCCACTCCCTCGCCCTTCATCTCCTCAGACTCTTCGTTCCCTCCTCTGCCACCATATCATCTCCCTATCCTCTATTAGCTACCTAAAGGATGCCCGTAAGGTGTTGGATGGAATGCTTCACAGAGGCGTCGCTTTGACTATAGTTGGTTTTGGTGTGTTCGTAAGCCCACTTTTACCCTTTCCTCTAAAAAGAGGTTGTCAGTTCCTTCTCTCTCATTCTCCGATCAACTGCAAAGCTAATGTTTCCCCGATTCTCCCTTCAATTTTAGAAAATTTTTGGGCTCTCCGGGACTGCAAAATCTATGGCTCTTTTATCTGCCCACGGATTTGCTTGCAGTTGCCGAAAAGCCTTACATTCAATAGATCGATATAATTTCACAGTGTTCTGTATATATCTCTAAGTTTTTTAGTAATTTTAGTTTCAGAGAATCAATGACTGTTACTGCAGCCATGGATTAGAGGTATCGTTTATTTTTTGTAATTTTAAAAAATTTTATGATCTTTGAGTCTTCTTACTATTTTTATGTATTTTTGTGTTTCGTTTTTTCCTCTTTGTATTTCTTCTTGTTATATATATATTTTTAAATTTTTATGTTCTTTGATTTTTGTTACTATTTTTATGCATTTTTTTGATTAGTTTTTTTTCCTCTTTGTATTTCTTCCTGTTAAAGGTGAATAAACTGAAAGTTGATTTTTTGAAATTTTGATATTGCAGATTTAAAATGCTCGATTTGCCTAGAGTTCAGGTGGCAAGGAAGCTTTGATTTTGATGCCCAGAGTTAGAAAGCCTAATTATACCTTTGTGTAAGGTCCAGCTCATAGTTATACATTTATTCATTTCTTATTTCTTTCATCCGAAAAAGTTTGGGTTTGAATGAACAAGCTGACCATCCATTTTCTTTTCTTTGACTAAAGTTCCTTCATAATACTTGTTGGCTATGATAATCTCATTGATCAGATAGCCTAGATCATAACTTACCCATTGCTTCAGTATAGTATTGTGCAAAAGTATATGTAATGTGCTTCAGTATGTTAACTGAAATTGAGTTGCCAAGGGTTTCATCTTGCTTCAAACATATAGTAAAATTCGCACTCAATAAACATAAAATACTTAATTGATAAGTGGTCCTAGAAGGATGATTACAAGTATAAACTTTCAAAAGTACTACACCATGACAGCAAGATTAAAGAGGGTAGGACTGAGGGAGTTTGCCGGGTGGGGGAAGAGGAAATGTTGTTGTAACTCTTCTTCCTAGGCTTTCCCATTTAATGTGGAATAGCTTTGCAACTCAATTGCTTGGTTAGCCTCTCTCTTTGCCTGGCACAAGAAATTAATAATCTTCCCTTAAAGCTCATCCATAATTTTGCCATCATCTTTATTAGCACTGGAAGAACTAAAACTTCAAAATCCTAACTGTCAAAATGGTAGCTACTTTTTACATAATTTTTGGGTCTAGCTGAATCCTATTCCCCTGTCTTGATGTTTTATATAGATAATTTCAGATTTTTTGTATTCTCATTTTCTGTTTTGGTGTATTTTTAGCAGTTAGAAATGAAGAGATCAGAAGTAAACATAATAGGTTTTTCTCCTCCTAGAAAAAAGAAACCCTCCTCTTGTTTGGCCAAGCACTGTTCTGATAATGATATTTCTCTCCCTGTGTCCATAATTTTTCGAAACAAAGGAACCAAAAGGAACAGACATTTTCTTTTTTTCCCATCCTTGAGTTTTTGGCTTTTCAAATAATATGCCTAATAAATATGTTATGATTTTGTTGCTGTAGAGAGATACTGCTCTTCGTTTCCTGTTGCAATACTTACCAGAATATGCAAATCCAAGGTATGTTCTTGTGCATTCTCAAAATGCAGCATTCATTTGAGCTAATGAATCCTTTGCTCATAGCTAATGAATTCTTTATGGTATGTACATCAAGGGATGAATGATGATTACAATTGGTATAAATGATGTAGAACTACCTGTTTTGGTCATCCTTTAATTGTGTGTTTTCTTTTCCTAAATTTTTGTGCCATTTCTTTTGTTTTGTTTATTTTTTGGCTTATTCTGCGATTGTTTTGTGCCACAGAGTTCAGTAATTGTTATACTCATCTTTCTGTTGATTATGTAGGTTATTCTTCTGTGCTCAACAGAGGTTGTGCTGCAGCGAAGTTTAGCCCTTTTATGTTATGGGATTTGCTTGCCTGAAGTGTAGTGAATTTGGGCAATCCCTGATAAGTCACCAAAGACTGATTCAATGAACATGTTAGTATCATCTGTTAGGTCAATATCAAAGCAGCACCTGTATTAACATAGATTTGCAATTGAGTAATTAGAGCCCCTCTATCACCTGTTCTATTTGTTTTTTACTATTTTTCTTCTATAATGTAGCTTGAACGTCATGATAGAACTGTTATAGGAGGGTATTATATCAATATACAACTATTGGTCTCATTAGGGAGTGGAAAATATTGTAGTACATGCTATGATTTGTGTACAGATTTTTCCCCATCATATTCATTACTCTTATGATGTATATTTGCAGGCAATCACTCTGCCAAACTGCCAGAGAATAGTTACTCATGATTGCTGAGGTTAGTTTCCACCATGAAATGTGAATGGAATGCCAAAAAGTTAATGACTTTTGTTCTTTTTTATATATTATGGACCAATCGCAAGATTAAAATTACAGTCAGTTTTCTTTGTTTTGGTTGCTTGTTGAGTCATTCCAAATGGAATGCCAAAAAGTTTGACTTACTTTTGTTCTTTTTATATATAATGGACTGATCGCAAGAGAGAAATTACAGTCAGTTTTGTGTTGGCTGCATGTTGAGTCATTCCTAATGTCTATTTTTTTGCTTTGTTTTAGATGTTTGGTGTGTTGCGATTATTACTAGTGAAGTTGCACTTGCTGACAGCCTCAAATCTTCTGTTTTCTCATGAATTTTAGTTTAATTTGGTTGGTCTTGTGGAAACTGATAGAATATATATATTGCCAACAAAAATGCAATTTTTTCCCTAGATTCAAAGAAGGTTAACTGTCAAAGGTTAATGGTTGTGTTTTCATATGGCTATAAATAATGAAATTTTTTCTAAAATCACGGTCAATGTTTTGAGTATGTTTGAACTTCGTCCTTGAGAAAAAAACCAGATTTTCAATAAAATAAGTTCTGGTTGATAAGAATCCAATTTTCAATGCAGTTTTGAATTTTGTTTGAGTTTGTACCTCAGATATTTGAGTTGAATTGCTTTTGGTATTTGACATTGTGACATATGGAGGAAATTTTGTGCTTGTTGTCTATTGATTTTGTATGAGACTGAAATTCTTTGTGTGTCTATTTTTCTATTGAAGGAATAGAATTTGGATCGTTAAAAATGACGTTCTTAATGGTTGTCATGGTCTTATGCATACCTTACATTGTGGGGCTGATATTTTGCAATGGAGTCGAGAGACAAATTTACATTGTGGGGTATATTGGCTATTTATTCTTATGCTGTTTATGATTATCCTTGTGATTTTTTGCTTCAGAATGTTGAAGTGCAGGATCATGTGGTAGAGCAGCTAAGAATGAGGAATCTGTTGTGCTGTGTTAGGCATTCATGTAGTCTGATTAGGAGTGTGACTCAATGTTAAATTGATTATTGTAATTTTTTAATCTGTTTAGTCTTTTTCTAGAGAACAGTTTAGGAGATGCTTTTAGTTAATGTGTAGATATCATTCTTATAAAGAATTCAACCACAAATATTTTGTAGTAGTTAGGTTGTTGATTAATATGGCTCAAATGCCATTTTAGTTTGTACGTGGCTTAATTTTTTATAAGTATTTATGTACAATTTTTTTTTTTTTTTGCATTCTATGTTAATCTGTTTTGTGGGTGATCATTTGTAACAGCCAAAATCTTGACTTGCAATTAGTGGTTTATGTGTTAAACTACAGCCAAATAATGATTTCTAGATAAATTACTATTTTTAATACCTCATATATTATGCTTTTTGGTCAATATAAAATTGGATAGGGCATTTTCGATTTCCATCGCGCGAAGCGCGTTTGTGCCTCCTAGTTTACATATAATCTAAGAAATTAGCCTTTAAAACGAGTTAGACGACCACTCGTTGAGAATGTCTAAATGCACAAGGATACAAGGCCACCACCTTTTTATGCAAACCTCTTATGCATTGTAAAGCGGTCCATTCTCTTCCGGTTCTGTGAACAAGGCATGTATTGCCATTCTTCTGTCCCCGTCCCTGTCTCTGAATCTGGGATATCCATAACCATAAGCTTAAAGCAATCATCGATTTGGCCCGCAGAACAGACTCAAATGCTATATCTTCTTTGCAAACTCAGTTAGTATCTCGTAACATAATAATGCCAAGCACGCCGTAAAATTGCATTGTATATTGCAAATTGACGAGGTTGTACAGGCTCTTTCTAGGACGGTGTACCTACACCCAAAAAAATTTGTCCCAAATTGGTTGCTCTATGTCCCCGCAAGCAAGAAATCATGTCCCTTGACAATTTTGCAGGGCTACCTGCAGGTCTCGGGACGTGCTTTAGAATGCCTAACTAATTCACGAAGCTTCCCAAATATGCCACTCAACGCGCATGCGTAATTTTCCATTTCTACAGCCATGGGTTGCACTTGCACGCAAATAATAATAATGACAACAGACTGTTAATGACTGCTATTTTGATACGAAGCAAATAACTTGTAACTATTTCTGTGAACTAGGCCTGTCAATGGGCCGGGCTCGGCCGAATTCATTATTCTGAACTCGGATCCGGCATGCTATATCAGATCCAGATTTGACCCGTTTACCTTGCGGGTTTTCTACACTATGTTTTGGATCCGGATCCAACGGGTCTTGGTTCCAGATCGGGTTTATCTGAAAAAAATCTATCAAAACTTACAATTTCTAATAAAAATGAGAAAAAAATATATTTGTAAAATAATTTCTAACTAATACAAAAAAAAACCAAATAAGAAAAGAAATCAAACTGATCTTATTCAAATATATCACCCTAATCAAATTATATTGATAAATATGTAAATTTTAAATTATTAATCCATTTATATCCGGATCCGGGTCGGAATACTATATTCCGTATTCGACCAGTTTTTTATTTGGTAAAACGGATTCGGGTTCAGATAACGGAATTAAATCCCTACTCATACCCGAAATAATTTGACGGATCGGATCCGAGTCATTGACAGGCCTACTTTGAACCATTGGTTACACAAAGTCGTAGTACTTGCCATATAAGTTGTACTCATCAAAACAAAGAAAGAGAATTGCACATGATATCTATTTAAATTTAAGAGTTGAGTGATATTTTTGGTCAAAACAAAAGTTTAATGACATAAACACGTAAACGGCAATAGTTTGTGGCCATTTCTTTTTCATTTGCTCTTTATATTATGTAAAAGTAACATGATCGAAATATATTAGTATAAAAAAAATATCATATATACACTGATAATGTAGAAAAAAAATTATCCAAAATGTATATATGACAAAAAAATGGCATGCAGGTAACAATTTTTGATTTGTTGGTAGTCTAAAAGGTTTCATTTTGTATTTAAGAGTAATAAATTAACAATGGTAATGGAAGATTGGGTGATTCGAAGTAATAGGCTAATGCTACTTAATTCAATTTCCAAACCATACTAGGTAGAGCAATCTATGCAAGACCAGTAAATGTCTTACGCAGTTGTACTTGTACCACGTAAAATACAACGCACGCCTCCTCAAAAGGTACAAGCAGTTAAGCTATTGCCTACCTCTTGGTTGAAGTAAAAATTTCCCGAATTCCCTTGGATGAGTCGCGGATCCAATTTTCTTTCCTTCCCAATTTCCCATGCCGTACGAGAAATTCACCCTCTTCTCTCATTTCCATTCCATGCCTTTGATTTTCCCCGCTCGGCCAGCAGGTGTCATCATCTCCGCCGAAGCAACTCCCACAGCTGATACCTTATAAGCCCACACCCCCACAAACCATTTTTTCAATCGAAACGGTCGACTTTCTCTGTTTCTCTCCCTTATGATTACTGCACCATTACAGCTTGTTGGGTCACTCCCAAACTCCTCCTTCCATGCACTAGTAGAAATTTCCAGTATGCATAGTCTCATCTTGTTGTCTTGTTTTACTCCTCAAGAGCTAGAAAAAAATGTAGGAAAATATTGGATGAGAAAACTCATATTCTGCAACCCAAGATGGAACGAGAACAACCAGAAGAACCCACTTCAGAATCTAATCATGAAGATCACATGACCCTGCACTAGTACTTGCTCTCAAAAGGAAAACCCATTATTCATCACTGCTCTCCTTCTGAGGTCTCCTTCTTCCAACAATAAAATTCATTCATTGATGAGTGGATTATATGCATGCACGGGCTTTTAAGGCTTATACTATATTGTGTGCTTTTTGTGCCAGGTTCTGAGAAGGTCCAAAAGAAACCGACAATGCCCTGAAATTTCTGAAATTAACAAAGTGAGGAATTTTTACTCTTGCCCTTTTTTCCCTCCTTAAAAGGTGATTTTTTTTTTAATCTGTATTTTCATTTCGTGGGTTTGGAGTTTTAAAGTATGAAGTCTGGAAATGTTCTCATGCAAGTCTGACTGTTATTAGTATCAGTTTTACTTGTTCTTCAAATGCCCTTTTGACGCTGTGCGATAGTCAAAATTTCTCATTTCTACCTTTATTAATTTTAATTAGCTGGCCAACAAAATAGACGTTTCTGCCTCAGCTGATTTAGAAAGAGAAGGTTAATTATGACATATGACTCCAGTTAGGCTTCAAATTCGGACTTGCAAATGATCTGTGGCATTAGTCCTTTAGCCAATCTGGTATAATTCAAGAAAATGCATTGATGAAAAGGATTTATGTGAAACAGACAATTTTGTCTCATGCATGCTGCTCGTGAGCTGAACAATATTGGGAAGGATTTTTGTTGGTTTATTTCTCTTTTTTTCAACTTCCCCAAGCGGATCAAGGTACCGTGTGCAACGTCCAAAATATGAATTTCGTAATCTTCCCTAAATCCAAATGTCAATGCTCTGAAAATGTTCATCTTCTCCCCTTTAGTTGTTAGGTGATCAGTTTCAATGGATGTTCCTTTTGAGACTATTTGGACTAGGGTGTTAACTGGTTTGTTTTCTTGCCGTCCTTCTACTTTAAGCCGTGATATCACTTGTTAGTATTGGTTTGATTATGGATAATTCCTTAAAAAGTTGAAATCCACGAATTTTTGAAAACTGAAACCCCAAGCATGATGAACGTTGTACTTGTAAGACTTCAGAAGTAATGTTAATTTACAAGTAAAACCATTTCTGCAGATTGTATGTTCGTGTTATTGTGTGGTTCAAAATTTCTCTTCGACTTTGCATCTACTGCATTTAAAGGAAGGCGTTGGATGGCGTAACATAAGCAATTCATGCATACTCATATGTACTTAAGTTTTATTGAGCACGATATGCTGCAGTTATCCAGATGATTTGGGACATTTAACTATGTGCCATATTGATAGTTCGTGCATCCCTGTTTCATATTATACTGTTAATAACTTGGATCCGATCTATATTTTTAATTTATCAAACAATAGCTTATTGGGGGCTGGAAACGTTTTTCCATTGCGCAAAAATTGGTCGAGGGCGATGTTGTCGTTTACCATTTGGTTGGGGATTGTAGATCCAAGGTAACCATTTTAAGTAGGTAGATCTATGGATCACATTTTCTTCAATGCTTGGAACCAATCCTGATTTATCATGTAGTAGTTTAACTACCTTTTGAACTTCAAAAGGAACCAAATATTATCTTAGAAGGCAATCCAGCGTTTATTGCATAGAAGTTTTCTGGTGCAAGTCATACAGCTCTATCATGGAGCAGAAGGACAACATGTTGATGCTTTAGAAACAAATTTCCTGGATCTCTTCAACTTGCTGTTTTCATAGATTCCATGCATTAGCAATACACCAACTACT